GAGCATGGTTTTGTGAAAGCAGAGTGTGTGCCTGCACAGCTCCAATTGCACAAGGGTGGGTTTGTACCCCTGCAACTCCCACAAATGCAGCTTCTTGCACAAGCGTGTTTGCCCGCCACTCGCACTAATGGTGGTGCGTGCACTCACTCGTGGTTCTGAATGGGTTGCTATTGTAAAGGAATCGAGATTTGTTTCTAACTTAGTAGAAATGTCTGCCAAGCAGCACAAATACATTTGTACATGGCTGTATAAAATAAAGTAAAAATTCAAATACCAGACCTGGTTGTCCCAAAGATACTTGTTGTGGCTTTTTTGCAGCCAGCAGAGCTGGCAACAGATTCGGACAGTGAGGAGGTTGGGGAGGAAGATGGGCCAGTCCTGGAGTCTGGGGAAGGCTCTGATGAGGGCTCTGAGTCAGAGGCAGAGAGGGGGCCAGAGCCGTATGCCAGTTATCAGCTGCCTTCAGAGTCAGACATCAGTGAGGCAGACAAACAGCTGGAGCCTGTTCCCAGTGTGTGCGTGTGCAGAGCTGCCAGACGAAGGGAAGAGCTAAGAAACAAGGGCTAACTTAGCCACAGGTGGATGATGAATGGGCCCTCCCAGAGAAAATAAAAGAGGAGCGAAAGGGGAGTGGAGTTTGCAGGAGACAATTAGTTCATTCCTGCATTCTTGCCAAGTATTGCAGCATCTGAAAGATATTGGCCTGGCCACTCTCCAAGCCTGATAAAGGTTGGTAATTGTCAATTATCTTGGAAGACAGCGGGCCCAGACTTTGCTGAAGGGGAATTCACTGTCAATTGAATAAAAGGGGTTTATCAGAACAAGAACTCAGCTTCGTCTTGCTGGGGAAACCTAGGTCGGAACAATAATTTCTCCAAAAGGCAAGTAGACTTTCTTGGGGTTTTTTTTCCCCTTTGAAAACATTTCACTTTGCATCCAAGAAGCTTTCTCGGTTCTGAGGTTTTTTTAAAGGAAAAAAAAACCCCCAAAAAGTCCAGTTCCCTTTTGGAGAAATTTCCTTTGGGACGACCATGACCTGGCTGATTGAGAATCTCCATAGACACCCAACCTGGTTCTTCCATGTGTGCAATGATCCAGTTGAAAGCCATCTCAGCACCCATGTTGCCAGTGTAGTATACGGCTTTCCGGCATGCTTCCAAGGGAAACCCCATCTCTGCCAGCTGCATCACGGAGGATTCATCAAAATCTGGGGCTGAGAGAGAGAGGACATTCTAGGTGAAAACTGAACCCATCACTTCCTGGTCAATCACACACACAACACACACACACCAGCTACCTTTATCACCCAAGACACGAATAATGGCATCAAGCTGTGAGTTCACAAAACATTGTACAGGTAGTCCTCGATTTACAATCGTTCATTTAGTAACCATCATTTAGTTACAATGGCACTGGAAGTAATGACATATGAACACTTCACACTTATGAGCACTGAAGGGTATTCCTAGCTGATGAGAGCTAAACAGCTAAACAGCTTGAAATCTATACTAAAAGGTAAAAGTAAAGGTTCCCCTCGCACTTATGTGCTAGTCATTCCCAACTCTAGGGGGTGGTGTTGATCTCCGTCTCATAGCCGAAGAGCCAGCGCTGTCCGAAGACGTCTCCGTGGTCATGTGGCCAGCATGACTAAACACCGAAGGCGCACGGAACGCTGTTACCTTCCCACCAAAGGTGGTTTATAGTTTTCTATTTGCATTTTTTACATGCTTTCGAACTGCTAGGTTGGCAGAAGCTGGGACAAGTGAGGAGAGCTCACTCCATTATGCAGCGCTAGGGATTCGAATCGTCGACTTTTCTGATTGACAAGCTCAGTGTCTTATCCCCTGAGACACTGCATCCCTCAGATCTATACTAGTCTCCCTTTATTTCTTTGTTGGTAAAACATAAATTTAACCAAAAAAAATAGTTTGTCGCGAAAGCGACTTCCTGCGAAGGCTCCTAGATTGGGACTGAAAGGTGAAAATGGAAGCAGTATGCTCCATCCCATAATTGGATAGACCAGTTTGCCCTGATAGACTGGTCCCACCGGAGGAAAAAAAAACACTTATGACCATTGCAACATCACAATGGTCATGCGATTTCCCTTCAGATGCTTAACAGCTGACTCATATTTATGACGGTTGCCGTGTTCAGGAGTCCTTTTGCGAACCTTCTGACAAGCAAAGTCGATGGAAAAGCCAGATTCGTTTAACAACCATGTCGCTCATTGAACAACTGCAGTGATTCGCTTCGCAACTGTGGCAAGAAAAGTCGTAAAACGGGACAAATTCACTTAACAATTTTTTCCACTCAACGACATAAATTTTGGGCTTCGTTGTGGTTGTACGTTGAGGAGTACCTGTAATTGGTTTCTTAATACAAATGCTATAGCTTCGGCTTGCAGCCTTTAAAAAAAATCATATCCACTGGAGACAGCATCTGATGGAGGGGCAAATTAGAACAGAAATTACTCAGATTCCTTTTCATTTCTTGTACAATGACCATTTCAAAAAATGATTTTGCAAAGAGTGGCGCAGTGGTTACAATGTGGTATTGCAGGCCACTTCTGCTGGCTGCCGGCTGCCTGCAATTTGGCACTTCGAATCTCACCAGACTCAAGGTTGACTCAGCCTTCCATCCTTCTGAGATCAGTAAAATGAGGACTCAGGTTGTTGGGGGCGGGAGGGTGACTCTATAAATCACTTAGAAAGTGCTGTAAAAGCACTGTGAAGCGGTATATTAGTCTAAGTGCTATTGCTGCCAGTATAGGAACTGAATATCAAAAGGAAGAGCTGTGCAAATTCTTGCAACAGTCTTTGCACTGTTGGAAGAATAGCAAAGTCAGCATGGAGAGAAAGTGCTGACCCAAATCACGCCTAAAAGCAAAAGTGACAAAGGTTATTAGGCTGTACAGACATCGACTGAAGCCTTGGCTGTTCTCCATGCAAAACAGCTCCCAAAGCTAAACTATCCCAGACCTTTTCTTTTTCTTTTTTTCTTTTTTATAATTCTGTATTTTAAAGGTCACACATATTGATGGAGCTCCTGCACTGAAACCATCAGTCAGGGCAAGCATAAATGATCAGGTGAAGCAACACCCTCAATCTTCAGCTGGTTTAAGTAATGGTTGGGTCTTAAATACAATTAATCATCTAGGGGGGTCTGTAATTATGCACAAAGGCAAAATTATGCTGCAGCGTAATGTCAGAAAAATCTCGATCTCTGTTCTAGTCACACTTTCAGTTTCTAGTTCTCATTAATGTAAAGCTAGATAGGAATGTGTGAACCAAAATTGATATTATTCTTCCTCTCTGTCTTTCTCTCTCTGTCTGTCTCCCTCTTTCTGTCTCTCTCTCTGTCTCTCTTTCTATCTGTCTGTCTTGGTCTCTCTCTGTCTCTCTTTGTCTCTGTCTGTCTGTCTGTCTCTCTCTCTTTCTCTGAACAACAAGGAAAAATGACAACTATGGATCTTATCTATAATTTTTGCCAAATTCCTATATTGTGAAATCAGGAGATGTTCCAATCGAATAAGGTTGCTCAGTGTCCCAGACTTGATTTTAATACAGGTAGTCCTTTGAGCCCAGAATTTTTACCAGAAGCTGAAAAAAAATGGTGAAAATTGTAGTCACATGACTGTGGGATATTGGAAATGGCCATGAAGGCGAGTTGACTGCCACGCCCAAAATGCAATCGTGCATGACTGTGTGTGTGTGTGTACATATGTGCATGGACAATGTAACTTCAAATCTGGGTCATAAACAGCTTTTGAAATGTCATAACTTTACTAGGCAAAGATGAACTTGTGATTTATAGTTTTGATGATTTGAGATACATTTATAGAAATAATATTATAGCAATAGCAATAGCAGTAGACTTATATACCGCTTCATAGG